ACCATACGCGCGGCGCGCGCGCGCGCGCGCGCGCGTGTGTGTGTGTGTGTGTGTGTGTGTGTATCAAAAAATATTTTAATTTATTATGTCACTTTCATGATGTATATGGCATCGTGATCTCGAATTAATGCAACAACATAAAGAGTTTAATGAGCTAAAATATGGAAAAGTCAAAGAACCTTTAATTCTCCTTGCAATAACCATTTCCAACTCGGCCTCCTGCCTCTGCGCTTCAGGATTTGGTTTTGGTGCAGCTGGGAACGTTACTAGGACTATACTCATATTATCTCTGCTACCCTATAACAAAATTTTTGAATACACTTAATAATAATATGAATACACTTTCATACAAAAACTTTTTGTATTGATTATATATCATCACTAAAAGTTTTTCATAATTTTTTTCATAATTTTATATTAAAAAAATAGTTACAAAAAAAATTAAGAATACAAATTAACATAGCGTGCAAGTTATAATAAATCAATTTATTTTTACATTTAGAAATAATTTTATAAACAATTTACAAAATAAATTTAATATTTTTAACATTTCTAATGTAAATTTTAAAAAAGAAGCACAAATATTTTCAGTTAGCTATTTTTTATACAAATAAATGCACGCGCGTGTGTTTAATTATTTATATTAATTTATATTATATAAAATACCTTGTAAAGACAGGTATCTACAACCAGATTTGTAACTGCTTCTAAATCGTCAGTTAGTTGCAGCCTTGAATGTATAAAATTACATAAATCTTCGTTGTTCATTACATCCCAAATGCCATCACATGCTAAAACTAGAAACTCATCGTGTTCATCGTCCCTGTCTAGCACGAATATTTCTGGTTCCGGCGACACTAACTGCTCACAAGGACCTCGATCTTTTAGATTTTTGTACTCATAATCACCCAATGCCCGAGAAACCGCCAGAGATCCGTTAACTCTTTGGATCATTACGCTACCGCCTGCATTCTGAATTCTTTCCTTCTCAGCGGGTAGAACAGGCTTGTGATCCCGCGTCGAGAAGACTGGAATTCCAGATCTACAGAGTACTGCCCGAGAGTCGCCACAGTTGGCGATATAAATATTTTTTGGTGATATAAATGCACACACCGCCGTGGAACCGGATTTATCTGTGCCCGAGCTCATCTCAGGTAAATCTCTCATCTCATCGTCGAGTCTGAGGAACCCGGAATGGATCCCTTTGATGACATCCTCGGCTTTAAACTCCTGCGTTTGCATTATACACTCTAATAGATGTTCCGCACTATGCGCTGATACCAATGCTCCCGCATGGCCATCAAATACTGCAAAATAGCTCCAATCGGAGAGACCCCCTTCTAAACAGGGAATAGCTCTGTGAGCATCCTCCATTTCCATTCGCCAGCCTTGCATGCTGGCAACACCGTATCGTAAACCATTACCAGTGCCATGTTCATTGCACTTTTCCGTCTTTGGAGTATCCAAAAACGCCCCCATATTATCTGTCGAATGTTGCGTGTACCAGCTGATTAATTTGTTTCTCGTTCTATTATTTGATTAGCATTATTCTTACTGATCCTCAAAATGGAAACTTCTATCACTTTTACCTAAAATCAAAAGCTTTACTATATTAAAACAGAATCTTTTAATTTCCACTGATTTCCACTTTTCAATCACGTATTGGAAATCTCGACATGTATTGAAGCAAAACCGATTTTAGTATGTTTCGCAGCAACTTCAGATTTCAGGAGTATAAACATTGTTCATTGACAATAATAGTGACAATGAATCGATAATACGGGTCGAGCAAATTTTACCTAGAGTATGCAAGGGTTCAAATGGCAAAGGCCGAGATGAGTTACAATTGTGGATAAACGAGAGAACGAGCGAACGATTCGACAGACGCGTTTCGAGCGACATTCTGGTAGCGCGTATTATCGTCCGGTGTGAGTAAATCTATCGCTTGCGCCACGCGCGTGCGAGAGAGCGATATATGATCACATCACGGATTTTTGTCCGCAGTGGTTTTCTGCGCGATATCGTCCCGTGCAGCGGACTCCGCGCGGAGACTCGCGCTACCGGACGACGAGGATGAAGATGAGAACGATGACGATGACGACAACGATAATGACCCGATGACGACAACGATAATGACCCGATGAAGCACATATACACACTACACACACACGCGTGCGCGCGTGCGCGAGGAACTTCTTATTTGGCAACGGAAATTTCGCGACTAAAATAGTTTATCTGCTCGCTTGCTTACTTATTCGCTCGCTCGTTCACACGTACGTACGCGTGTCTCTTGCTCGCGCGACTGCCGAATGTACGAATGGAGAACTTACGTCGGCGGACCGTGACCAAGGATCAATCGCTTCGACTAAAGAAGGGTATGCTTCAACGCGCGCGCTGCTACTATTAT